CCTTGTGATATGAGATTGTTGTTGAGAAAATAGTTGTTTAGTCACATAGACAAATGCTTCTTCTCCTGTATATGCTTTAGCGAGATGTCTTTCCTTATCTTTTTTGTGAAGGCCCTCTTGGTCTTAGAATAAGTCCTACTTTATAGATGTTTGGGAGAAATTGCTTGATTTAGGGCCTGTTTGGTTCAGCATTTGGAATGATCATTTGGGCTCTAAAGTCCCTTGGCCAAATGCAAATGGCCTTTGGCAATTTTTTTGGAGCACTTTGGGGAATTGTAATTGCATTTCCAAAGGCTTCTAAAGTCCCTTAGCCCAAGGCAGGTCTGGAGGCACTTTCGCAAGTTGTATTTTCGGAATGCGAGGTGCACTGTTCATGCATACTGTTCATCTTCCTGAGGAACCAAACCGGAGGCTAGCGACAGCTGCCTGAGGGGTCCGGCCACCGTCGCTTGGGGGTCGGCCGACCTCCGGTGACCGCCGCTTGGGGGTCGCCCGACCCCGGCGACCCCCAGGCGGCGGTCGCCGGAGGTTGGCCGACTCGCAGGCGACGGTGGCCGGACCCGCGCGACCCAGGCGACGCCTAGGTCAGGCAACCTCAGGCCACCTCGCCTGAGGTCACGCGACCCAGGCAAGCATTGGCCTGGGTCGTGCGACCCTCAGGCGAGGTTGGCCGGTGGCCAGATCTGGCTGTTGGCAGTTGGCCGGCGGAGGTTGGCTAGTGGCCGTTTTGGCCTGCCGGTGGTGATTGAGTTCTTTGCTGATTTTTAAAAAAAAAATATTAGCAAAAGTCCTTTACAAAATTAGTTTTTACTAAATGGTATTTAGACTAAAGTTGCTTTCAAACGTGATTTTAAAATACACATTACCAAACACTACTTGCATTTCGGAAAACTCTTTTAGCTCAAAGGCCTTTGCATTTTGCCAAAGGCATTCCCCCAAAGCCGAACCAAACAGGCCCTTAATGTTCAATGTCTCCAATGTCTCGTTGGAGCTTGACCTTTCCTTAGAAGTCTTTAGACTTTCTCCTCTTATCCTTAGAGCTTCTCGTGTGACCTAAAATTGAGCAGGGCACCGGGACACAACTACTTGGAAGGTCTGCTGCTTCTCCGGGTGCCAGTTCTTTTGATAACACCTCTGCATCTCCAATGCCATATGCCAATTCCCCTAGGTCCGGTACAAATATGAATACGCCTTCTCCTCAACAACAATCGCAACAACAGCAACCACAGCAGCAGCAGCAGCAGCAACAACAACAAAGGCAGAAGATGATGCAATTACCTCAGCATCAGCAACTTCTTCTTGCTCAACAACAATTCCGCCAGCCTACAATGTCAGGTCTGGGGCAGGTGAGGTTTATGGCTCATTTTCTAATTCTGAATTAAATAATAATTACATGTATATATTTTTAAGATATCATGGGAAGAACTTCTAAGATTATGAGCAAAACTTTGGTGGCAACAGATTTATACTCTTTGTTTGTGTCTTAGTAGATAATTATCCTCATTCTTTGGACTTGCTGTTAAGTAACATGGATCGATATATAAATTGCCTCATTTTGTAGATTCTTGGCCAAATAAAATAGACTTCTAGAAAATTTCAAATGAGTATTGATTCATGCATATTATTTTTAGTTGAAACCTCTGTATAGAACGACATCTTTGTACTTGATATAGGTAAATGCAAAGCGCTAAGGGAGTATTAAAATGTCCATGCAGCTAATAGCTTAAGTTCCCCGTCTCAAGTGTTAAAATGTCTGTGCAAAACCCATAGACAGGAAGTGTGGGACATCTTTGTACTTGACATTTTAACGCACCCTCTCAATTTAACACATTAGTGAATCTTGGACTTAGTTGAATTTTTAGATTAAAACTAATTACTGTTACCAAACACGTTTAATCTTACCAAGTGTTAATTTTCTGTGAATAATGAGGTTGTCAACCAAGCTCCTAGTAAAGGCTGACAAGTGTCTACTTGAAATTGATGTCATTTTTTGATACACTAATGGGGAAGTACCTACATTGTTTAAGCAGAACTCTTAAAAATTGTCAAAGGCCTCGTCTGTCTACTCATACTTTTCTAGCTAACCACAACAATCCCAACCCTTTCTTGTTGCTGAGCAGTTTCTGTAAATCAAACAACATACAAAATAGACACTCATGCAAGTGCTACAGGCTGAATGTTATTCTTTCTCCTCCGCTAATCGTATTGCAGCTTTAGCCAACTTCGAGAAGCTTGTGTCAATTTCTGCTATATGCTTGCCTCAATCTCATATATTTTTTGCTGTTTCAGGGTCAACCTCAGATGCAGTATCCTCAGACACTGGGGCACCAACAATTTCAAGGCAGGCAGTTGCCTTCTGGCCCTTTGCAGCATAGCATTGGTCAAAGCCAACTCAATCAAGGAAACCTGATGAATCGTCATCTAAGCCAATTTTCCGGCACTGCCAATAGTGCATTGTTCAATGCTGCTCAGACAGCACCAAACTCCCAGATGGTCAGATATCGCTCTTTCCTTGGTTCTTTTTTCATCTTTCCATCTGTGTCACTACAAACAAGTTTATGATTTTAGGATTCTATCATGAGTTTCAGTGGACATATTCGAGCATTAAGTGCATCATCTGGATTTTTTCCCTTGAAAAACCTTGAATGATGGTTAATCTTGAATATGGTGGCCAAAAAAAAAGAAAATCTGCATGAGAATTAGTTTAACTATACTCCCAATCTGGTTCATAGTTTTCGGTGGGCTTACCAGAGGTTATTACTTAAGAACACTTTTGTACCTTTTACTATACTCATGCATTTATTATGCCTCTGGCAGTTGCATATTTGCTTGGTACATTTAAATGTTCGAGCATGCAATTAGGTGTGCTCGGCTCTTCTTATTATAAATGCATAAATTTCTGTTTTGTGGACATCCTCTTTCATTTGCTTTTCCTTATCTCAGTCCAGACATTCCATTACCTTTCGACTCATGGGCCGTTCTTCACTCTGTTTTTGCTGGTGAAGTACACTGACCGTGTTTATTTGATTTCAGATACCAAATATGTCAGCTACAATGCAGCCACAGTCTCTTCTTCCAAGAATGCAGGTGAGCTTTCTACTCTTTCTTCCAAGTAGGAGAGGAATTTCAGTTTGCTATGTTTCTTCATGGAATGGAATGTCACCAGAAATATCATGTGAATAAATCTCCTTGAATTTTTATTTCAGCTACTATGTTTCATCCTTATAGAAAGTTTTTAGTTCCTTTTCATTCTAAAAGATATACCTCTTTCTAAAAAGCGAATATTACATTTTAAGTACATTGCAAAGAATATATCCTCCAAAAAAAAAAAGAGATTGCTAGGTGTGGTGTATGGATATAGAGAGGACAAATCTTATGGGTCGAAGAAGATATCCATAAGATGTGTAATTTATGAGCTAACGTTTCACAGGACTCTTGAATTCCTGTAGATGAAAACTTTATCAGTACATCCATGAGAAAAGGATTGCAATTAGCCACATTGCAATTAGCCACCTATTTATCTCCGTTAAAGTTTTTAATTAAATATTGAGCTTAAACTTTTAGAACAATTGGCTTTCATAAAATTTTAACAAGCTATCAGAGCAGGAGCTAAGACCTTCTATATGCTTAACCTATTATATATCTCCATGCTCTTAGTTTTAGGCTAAAGTCCAGCTTATGCTTGAGGAGGATGGTTAATGTATTTAATTAAATATTAAACCATGTCTTTTAATCGTTTAAGATTTTAGAATAGTTGATAGTGGTTTCACAAAATTTTATACAATCTCCTTGCACCATTTTCCCTGGATTCTTTTGAAATCGATGGATAAATGTAATGAAGGCTGTTTGTTGCAAAAAATGACAGTGTTAGGGGAGTCAATATTCTGGCTAATCTCCAACTCACACTTATGGAGGTCAAATGCAATTTCTCTGATTCTTTTGTTAAGTCAGAAGTTCCTTTGGTTCAGTACTAAGTCTTGTTTCTGTCATGATGGTGCCAAATGCGTGCTCCTTATGAAGTTGGTACTGAAACTTCAGACTTCATAAAATGATAATCTTGCATTTACTTTGGTATCTTGACATGATTGGTTGTTCATTACATGCAATACTTTGATCAAGATACCTTTTCTTCACTGGAACTCTTATTTGGCCTGTTTATTTCTGTCACTATTTATTCTCTTGTTGGGAATTTCTTTTTCAGTTTGGCTTATCTGGAACCAATCCCCAGAGGAGTCATGCGTCCCAGATATTGAACGATCAAAGTACGAACTAAGTCTTCCACTTTCTTCTCTGTTACTTGGCATTGGAAATTCACTTACTGTATAATGAAGAGGATGCTGCATGATCAAATGGATGTTTCTTGGATTCAAAGTATCAAACATGGATTATGGCAATAGTGAATAATGGGCCTCTCACTTTGCAGTTTATAATATGGGAGCAGCCAATGCAACAAATATGATTCCTATACAGCCACAGCAGCAGCAGCAGCAGCAACAGCCTGGTTCACAGGGTGCGTTTGGTAACATGGCACAAAATGCTCAGGGTCTGCAGTCTGGTATGGTAAACCTACCAAACACATCTCAGAATCACCCCAATTTCTCACAACAGAGGCAGCAAAATCAGCAGTGAGACAATGGTTTCGTGGTGATATTTACAGTTGCTTGAGCATCTTGGTACTCTTGGATTGATACATAGGCTGCCACCGTGCTACTCGTGTGGGTGGAACTTTTTGGTGTAGTCCTCCTTATAGAGACTTGATTTGGGGAGTATATATGGTGAGGGAAAAGCTTGATTAGAAAGACGGACATTAATGATCTTCGCTGTTGGCCAAACAGAAAAAAAAAAATCTTTGCTTCACAGTTTTGTGGCTGCACGCACGTTTTCCTTTTCTTTTTGCTGCGAAGTAAGCCAAGTTATTTCAAACAAAGAGATGGAATGCAGGCATTAGGATATCAAAATGATTGGAGGAAAGGGACTTTCTGGACCAATCAACTCAGATCTTCCCTTGCGATTCTCTCTTCATTTTTGGTCAAATTTGAGCATTTCCTAAAACAAATTTGATGTTTTTGTTCGTATGGGCAGTTAAAACATGAACATGTAAAGTTTACAATCTCTGACGTATGAGTCAGGTCTCCGGTTAGAAGAATCTAATTGATCCTGAGAAATTGTAAAAATCCCAAAAATAATGGTGACAAACAATCTCTCGCCGTAGCTACTGTAGCTGGTGATTCCTCAAAATTTAAGACTCAATGTAGCAGTTGCAGCATCTTCGAACAAACCACTCCAACCTGTGTTCAGAAAAGCTCATTAGTCTTGAGGTCCTGAAACACGCGACTCAACTTAGTATTTGTCTCCATGTAGTTGCTAGCAAGAGACAGCAGGCTTAATGCCCTGGTGGTATAGCCAACTGGCAATATGACTATATGAGCTCCGCCTTCCTTGCTCTGAAAATTTCGAACGAAATTGATTCCCCACAGTTCTTGTTTAGCGGGATTGCTAGGTTTGACTGGTAGTTGTAGGCTTCCTGCCCAGAAATGTCTACACAGCTAGAGTAGTTGGCGTTTCAAATGTTAAAAACCTACCATTCAAAGATCTCCTAGCCATTGAAGTCCCAGGAATAGGTGAAGTTGATACAGTTGTGCCTATCTTTGGCCCTAGAAAGAAATTATGCTACAAAGGAAGCTAACACTATACGCAAGAGTGAACGCGCTACTTTGTCCCTAATATGGATCCGACCAACTCCTGTTGAAAATTGATGCCCACAAACTAATTAGCAAAGTAAAGGATGAAGAGCTTACAAGTCCTTAAGGCATGAACTTTTGGAATCCTCCTCTTCATCAGCTCGTTTACGGTCCAAGGAAAATGCCAAAGGCGGCGTTCGTGTAGGACCAGATGACTCCTGCAGAAGAGGGAGGTTTTCTGCAGATGTATGACTGGACTGCGGTGGTGAAAATGGCGGGGATGGAGAAGGAGATGGTGAGAAATAGTATTTTTGATTGCCAGGTCCTGTACTTATCGGAAGAGGTGATGGCGGTGTTGGTGGTGATGAAGTTGGAGAGATGCGGCCATCCTCTTGCGCATCTTCCATTGCATTCGGCAATCTCTGGCTTCTTTCTTTTTGTTCTTTTTGACTTGGTTGATATGAGCTGCCTCAGAGGAAAAAGATCTCTCCTGGAAAGTTGAAAAAGAGAGTCAGGAAGCCTTCAAGTATAATGGACACAGATGATCCTCGGCCACCTTCGCAACCAGACTCTTGCCTATATTGCCAGAAACTTTGAGAGTCAATCTAACAATCGAAGCATATTAGCATAAACCACTCCGACCTGTTTTCATCAATATAAGACCTTGAAACAAAGGAACGTCATGCTGCATTCAACAGCATGTAATATTGAGTTCAGAGGCAGCAACCTCAGTACCCATATAAATTGCGTATGCAAACCTGCAAAAAGATTGCAATATAGCTCCAACTCCAATTTAGAAGCTTTGTAGCGTTGCTTGTGCTGACCTTTTGAATGGGGAATTGACTCTCCACGTTTGCCAGTTTTGTTTTTGACTGGTGAGTGGATGCTTCCTGCCCAAATGTCTATACGACTGACTAGTTGAACTTTATAAGAAAAGGGTTCTCAAACTTACCATTCACATTCAAAATTCTCCTAGCTAATTAAGTCCCAGAAGGACGCGGCAAAAACTGTAGTATGGTTTATAATGTATTCCTAGCTATGAAGCTCAAAAGTAACATAGCATTTGTATTCGTTGTAAGTGAGAGAGCAGATGCGCTACTCCTTCCCATAAAATCCAAACGGATGAAGAAGTGCTTTTGAACAAGTTAGAATCAGGCTCAGGTTACATTTTCCTGAGCAGTAGTGCTAGTACATTCCTTCTAATTATCAAGGAAAAGAAATGCGGAGGGAAGAGAATGCAGGGCTTACAAGTCCTCAAGGAATGAACACGTGTAATTTTCCAATTTGGATCCACTTCTGTTTGAGCCAGCGACACCACCGGCAGTGGCGTTCAGGCGAAGACCCGATGAACTGTGCAAACGTAAACTGGAAGGTGGAGGCAAAAATGGTGTGTGTAGAGGGAGGGAGAGATAGTAGTCCGGATTGCCAGGTCCTAAACTGATGGGAAGAGAGGATGGATGTGCTCGGGAAGAGCTGAATTTGTGGCAAGCTCTGATCTTTCCTTCTTACTTTTTCTTTTCTCAATTTTTGACTGGTCAGTATAAGCTGCACCAGCTAAAGGAGTTGCAGCTTCCCGGCAGTTTTTTGATTCTTAGTTATAACCTAACGGTCATGGGCCAACCAGTCGTCATCAGCTGCTTGGTGATCGTCTGTGCATTGATTTATTAAGGACCAAAAACATTCATGAACATTCTTTATGCAGACTGATCATTCAGTTGCTGACATGTAATCTGAACAAGCATAGTCCATACTATTAATGCTCTATACGATTTATGCAAACTTAGGATGCGTTTGGTAACCATTCTGTTCTCGAAAATAATTTCTGCTCAGAAATGATTTTTTTTTATTCCATTCCCGGAAAAAATTTCTAAGCATTTGAAGGCGTTTCGTACTTGCACAAAATTTCTTTTTATTAATAATATTTTGAATTTTTTAATATATTTTTTTTCCTTTTTTTTTTTTTCTTTTTTTCGTCTTCTCCTTCCTTGGCCCATGGCTTGGTCGCCAGTGCCGGCAATTGGCCACAGGCCAGGGCTAGCGAAGGCGTCGCGGCCCTCACCAACCATAGGCGAGGCCGAGGCCGAGGGCGAGGGCGAGGGCTAGACCCTCGCGGCCTATGTGAGGTCCATCCTCGCTGCTTGCAGCCTGGGTGAGGGCGACCCTCGCCGGATCTGGCGACGACGACCCTCGCCTAGGCTGCGAGGGTCCCCCTCATCGGCGAGGGCGAGGGCGGCCCTCGCCCAGGCCGTGAGGGTCCAGCCCTCGCTCTCGCCGGCCCTGGCCTGTGGATGTCGTGTCCCTTTTATTCCACTCAATTTTCATTGACGAGACAATGACATCTCGAAGCAGAATGCATCTCAATAACTAATTTAATTTCCAAGAGTCATATTTTATGGTATCCCAAGCTAAATTAAGCCAGTCTCCTAAAAGAGAAACGATCCCAAATCGTGAGAAAACACAGTAGAGGCACCTTGTTTACATGATAATTATGAACGAGATTGTGCTACTTCGCACGAATAAGCTGACTCAGATAATGAGTCCCACACCCACAGGTCATGTCATCTTAGGTTTGTATTAGGTGCCTCGTGCTTCTTCGGTAGTTCCTCTTCATGGTATTTCGCCATTTATAACTGACTGAAAAGTTCCTTCGTTCATCGGAAATAGCCTAGGCCTTCTTATCATTTAGGGCCCGTTTGGTAACGTGCCAAATAGTGAAAATTTCTGTTCTTTTGTTCCCAGAAATAATTTGGGAACAGAAATGCGTTTGGTAAACTTTTTGTTCCTCGGCACATTTTTGCAAAAATTTGTGCCGAGAAACAGTTTTGGAAGAAAAACAAGAAGTAAAAAAAAGTTACTTCTTGTTTCTCGGCACAATTTTGAGAATCAATTTTTTTTCTTCTTTTTTTTTTTTTCTTTTCTTATTTTGTGGTGTTGTTCTTGGCTAAGCCGGCTGCCGGCGACCGGCGACAGCCCAGGGCCGGCGAGGGCGAGGGCTGGACCCTCGCCGTCGCGACCCACGGCGAGGTCGGCTTCGCCGTGGGTCGCGATGGCGAGGCTCGGCCTCGCCAGATCTGGGCGAGGCCGAGCCTCGCCGGCGAGGGCGACCCTCGCCTCCGCCGGCAGCACGGCGAGGTCCGTGACGCCTTCGCCGGCCCTAGGCTGTGGCCGGTCGCCGGCGACCGGCCATGGCCAAAGAAGAAAGTAAAAAGAAAAAAAAAATTTTAACAATTCAAAATATTATTAAAATATTATTTGGAAACAGAAATTTTGTGTAGTTACCAAACGCATTTTTGCTCTTTTCTACTCTAGGAATAGAAATTTTGGACATTTATCAAACGCCTTCAAATACTCAGAAATTGTTTCCGGGCACAGAATAAAAAAAAATCATTTCTGTTCAGAAATAGCGTCCGGGCACAGAATGGTATTCATGCGCACCCTTACTCTCCTCCTCCTCCTCCTTTGCATGAAAAACAGACGACCGAAAGTTTCAAGTAGCTAGCTTTACTTCGTCAATTCAGCAAACCCTCCTATCTTTACACATAGTATAGGAGGAATGATCTTGAAGGTATTACTCATTTTAATTGTGACAAAGCAGTATCCGCGGTGCAACCTTTGTGTTCACTCAGAAAAGCAGGAGTAGAAGACTTGAAATAGGGAATAGAGCTTACAGCCAAATAAGGTCAATTCCAAAGACAAAAAAATCCTGCAACATTATTACTACACTGCATAACTACATTTATCCATGGAAACCAATAGTTCTTTAAATCTTATCAGTAAAGACATAACTATAAGAAAAAGGTCAGGATACATAAAAAAATAATAGGTACAATTATATGAACACCAAGAAAACACCATCTCTAATGCGGGATGCACAAAAATCTAATACTCTGATCCCTCCCTCAAGGGCACTCAGTAAGCAGAGATATAGAACGAAAAGGTGACCAAGTGACTTTGTGCCGAAGATCCGTGAGAAATTGTAGTTCCTAACTCAATTCATCGAGTTTCATCCTCAAGGTTACGGAAACCTGCAGTAAGATCCTCATGTAGCTTCTTGAATTTGGCCACTAGAGCTTCCTCCCCCTCAGCTGGATCCTCAAATTTTTGGGACCTATTAAGTTGAATTAACAGAGAATTAAGTCTCTTAAACAAGCTCCATGGAGAAAAACCTTCATCACTAATTAGCAAAGTACAATACTTACACCAAACGGTAAAATAGATCTCCCAACCGATGCTTGATTAGGGTGTAAGTTATCTTTTGGCCATCCATGCCAGCAGCTCTTTCAACAGCCTGCATTAACATTTTGTGTGTCAACAGGAATTAATAAACCAACATTTTGCTCGCCATGTATAACACCTTAAAAAGATTGTCCTTCAAGCAAGCAAAGGCATGTTCCTTTTGTGTATTTCCCCAAGCATAACTCTGATTTTCACATTTAATCACATTATTAATAAAACTAAGGTTTTTTTTTTTTTTGGTCAAGAATAAAAAACTAAGGTTAATCCGACATAGAAAGTGACAGATTTCTATGTCAGGATTAATCTTAGTTTAATTAATATTTCTTAAGTACAAGTCCCCGGTGTTAAAATAGTTTCCAAATTCTCTTTCCGACATCATCTACCTTTTCCCCCAAAGATACGACAGGTTCATTTAACCATGATTCCGTGACTTAGAAAGCATGAAAAAGATAGAGCAGGGTACAAATCTACCTGATTGGCCAAATTATAGAAGTGGATGATATTGCGCATCATCCACACAGACTTGTAGAAGGGGCAAAATTTATCATATCTGTCGCAATCAAGCAAGGCAGATTATTACAAAAAGAAAAAAAAGGGCAAAGCAAGACTTTGAGAAAAAAAAAGTAGCAGAGCACGAATATAATGTTCTAATTGATAGCATAAGAATCGCTTCCTCTTACGGGGTAAAGGCATTTTGAGCAAGATAGTCCTCCCTCAGAAGTTTTGCAGTCTCTAGTGTAATTTTATCTGCTTCAGCCAAAGCATCTTTACCTACAAGCTGCAGAAAGTCATGAAGAGTGAAAACTGGTCTAATTTGCAAGGCATGACCAAAACTAATGAAGACAACTATTTGAAGTTCTCTTGTTGCACTCAATGCAATTTCTTGTCCATTCTCGCAAGAGTTGCAAGCACGAGCAGAAAAACCAGATAAAAAAGTCCAAGATCTAGGTCCTTTATGCAACAACAACCAGTAATGCCCTTATGAACAACTTTTGGATCAGTTGTATAATGATTCATCTAGTCCCTAGTCATTCCTAGTCACTGGACAAATGAAGTACCTGAACAATTTCATTGAGGTCATCTTCTCTCTGCAGTACCTCACGAGCCATTGTCCTGATGTTGATAAAATCTGGATCAAATTGCTCATAGAAGGACTCCAATGCCTATATACAATGGAGAAAAAGAATTCCAATGATTATATACAACTGGCAGAATGCATTAGGTGTACTGGAATTCACCAATGACAAAAACTCTTGCATGCATGAGAGAGCAGCTCAAGAACTCACTGATGAGTACTTCGAGTAGGATATGAGCCAGTTCACTGATGGAAAATGTTTTCTTTGAGCAAGTTTCTTATCCAGACCCCAGAAGACCTGGAAACCCATCAGGATAATCATCAGCAAGGAAGATTTAGCACCGGATTGGATGATACTTGAGCTATGCTACCCAACTTTGGCATGTACATAGGAATAAACTAATGGCAGACATCCTATGTATGATAAAGTAAGCTGATCATTAATAACCCGTGGACCAAAATGCATAGGTCTCACACTTTGCGTCAAGATAAGCAGTCTGCAACAGTTTAGGAAAGTATTTTTGCAGTTCAATATTATATAATCTACAATGGTGACGAAAGAACAAATTCAACCTTCTCTTCTTTTAAGACTGTCAATGACCTCCTGAAGATAGTGTCTTCTAAAACTAGTTGGATCTAGGGCTAATTTCCTCAGTGATGAACTTCACCACTCCCAATGCAGGTGTCATTGTGAAGGCCTCATGTAAAAAGGCTGCTATTTACATGGTCTTTGAGACTTCCTTCTCTTCTGTGGTTCTGCTTAAACTTGGTAGTATTTGAGCATATATTTTATCTCCTCCAATTTGGAAAAAAGTTGTCTTTCAGATGAAAAGAATATTGATAGAGAGTTGATGCAAAATAAAGAGTTCACATCCGTACTTTCATAAAGGACGGTAAATCTCCAGGTCATTACACCTGTGCTCTTTGGAGTTCCGACTATCCATCATACGATTGAACTCATATAATGGAAGCATCATCAAGATTACTGATTCAAATAAGCTCCAACTATACCTGCACTATACTAAGGGTTGCAGATGTTACAGGATCAGAAAAATCTCCTCCAGGAGGAGAGACAGCACCAACAATTGTAACACTTCCAGTTCGTTCTGGACCACCAAGACACTTCACTTTACCAGCTCGCTCGTAGAAAGATGCCAATCGTGCTGCCAGATAAGCAGGGTACCCACTATCCGCAGGCATTTCTGCCTGCATAACAAGACAATAAGATAGGATCCTATTAGACG